GTTGCATATCAATGAATCAATTGAAAATATACCATTTAATTTAAAATTTTGCTTATTAAATTAATTGTTTGGAAAGGAAAAAGGAAGTTGAAAAAAATATGGCAAATTAATTCAATTAAAATTTTTTTAATTTTAAATTAATTTAATTAAATTTTAATCTCTTCTTTTTTTAAAAAAAAATGAATTTTTGCATTTTCAAGGTGATCTCATTCAATTGGGAAGAGGTCCAAAAACCATATACTATTGCAATATGGTTATTACTTGCTGGTATTGCTAAAATGGGTTTGTTTATTTGTTTATTCTTCCATTAATTAAAATTTCTTTCATTAAAATAATTAACATAAGAGAGAGAGGGTGAGAGAGAGAGAGAGATAATACGTAAATTTTTTTTCTTTATAATTTCAAATTTAATTAAGTTTCTTTTTTTACACCTAATTTTCTCATCTCTCCTACAAGAATATAAATATATGACGTAAATTAACGTTAATTTACGTCATTGTAACGTAAACGTGAACATATATTGCAAAATTTAACTTTATACTTACTAACAATTTATGATATATCTTATCAAAATTCTTTTTTACATTATTAATTAAATTTGTGCTTATATTTTTCAAAAAAAAAAAACAAATAAAAAGTAATTTTAAAAAATTATTTCGATTGTACAGTATTTCATATCTCAAAACGGGTTGCTGATACATTTCCGGATTCATCATTACTGATTGTTGTTGGTCTTATATTGGGTGTACTACTTAAATTATCCAATGTTAATGATTCAATATTCAATCTTGAAGCAAATATTTTCTTCCTTTATTTGCTACCACCAATTATTTTTGATGCTGGTTAGTTGTTTCATTTTTATTAAAATTTCAAAATTTTTCTGAAAATTTTAAAAATTTTTTTATCAGTTATGAAATATTTGGTAAAATTTGATTTAATTAGCATGAAAATAAGATGATTTTTTTGTTTTTTGAAATCTAAAATTAAAGGAAAAATAAAAAAAGGCTGGTTAACTTTTTTATTTATTTATTTATATTTGAAATGGAATTGAATGAGGAAAAAGAAAATGGAATTTTTGTATGATCAATTTGATAGCAATGAAAAAAAAAATTATCAATTTCAAATTATTTGGATAGAATAAATCATACATGCATTTACTTTTCATGCACTAAAATTTTAATTCAATTAAAAACCCTATAATAATTTAATTAAATAATTAATCAGAAATATATTGCACATTTTATGATGACTAAAATCACTTAAACCTTTAGGCTATTTTATGCCAAATCGAGCATTATTTGAAAATTTTGGCTCCATTTTGGTATTTGCCGTTATTGGAACCATATGGAATTGTCTAGCAATTGGTAAAATTTCCGTTAATAATTCAATAAAATTTCACAAAATTTTGTATATTTCAAAATTTTGAATTTAAATTTCACATAAGTAATGGAATTTAAGAAATGAAAAGTAATGGAATTTAAGAAATGAAAATACTACACTTACGAAATTATTGTATTATTAGTCGTTTTAAATGAAAAACATAAGGCTAAAAACAAAAAAACGAAAGCATAAAATATATCTAATAATCAAAATCGGAAAATTTCCGGATGAAACTATATTAATCAAACATGATGTTGGGAAAAAAAATGCACAAAATATAACTGATCATCAGGATCGGAAGATTTCCGCAATAAATCGTGAATTGATATCCAAAAAAAAAAAGAAATGTAATCCGGATAAGTCATTTAATCCAATTAGATTTAATACTTCAAAAGTTAAAAGGAAAAAAAGAACATTATGGTCAATTGAACTTTCGAATTTTAAAATTTTGCATTTTTGAATTTTAAAACTTTTGAATCACATACTATTAAATATAGCGTTACTTTCAACTAAATGAATTAACTAATTTGAAAAAAAAAGTGAATAAATAATTACATATTTAAAATATTAAAGATTATAATAAATATTTTTTTTTTTACAATCAATTATCATCAAATAATTTCTTTATCATTTCTAATCATACATTTTTAGGCTCAACATTATATGGCCTTGGCTTATTAAATGTATTCTCAATTAAATTTTCTATTTTCGAAATTTTCCTCTTTTCGGCATTAATTAGCGCCGTTGATCCGGTAGCTGTAATAGCTGTTTTTGAAGAGATTCATGTTAATGAAACTCTTTTTATAACTGTTTTCGGTGAAGCATTATTCAATGATGGTATCACTGTGGTAAATTATTTTCTTAGAAAGTTTTAAAAATTAATCATTAAATCAAACAATTAATTAATTAATTAATTGATACCAACGATTGATAATAAATTAGGGAAAAAAAAATTGTAACAAGAAATTTCAAGCCATTAATCATTTTTTTTGTAAAAGCATTGAAAAGGAATTTTTTTTCTTTTTAGAGCTATGAATGTATTTTAAATTTAAATTATAAATTTGCAATAATTTAATGGTAAATCATTGAGGAAATTTTGTTATTATCATATTTTCGCATTTAATTATTATTATTTTTTGCGTAATTTTTTACAGAAAATATAAAATCTAAAAAAGAAAAAATGATAAGGAAAAGGATGAGAAAAAAACAATCTAATCCATTTATTTTTTTAATAAAATTAAATTAATTTTATTGAATCATATTTTATGATATTTTGCAAATTTGAATTTTAGCATACAACGAAATGCAATTGTTTTTAATATAATTTTTTATTTAGGTGCTATATCAAATGTTTCGTAAATTTGTGCTAATTGGAAGTGATAAACTGATAACAGTTGATTATTTAGCTGGTGGAATAAGTTTTTTGTAATTGGTCTTGGCGGTGCAGCAATTGGTCTTTTTTATGCATTTATTGTTAGCTTCATCACCAAGTAAGTTATATTCGTTTTTTTTTTGTTCTATTAATTAAAAT